CCCCCCCCCCCCCACACACACACACACACACACACACACACTTGGTTTCAAATTGTTGAACTTGATGATCTAGTAATTTCATTTAAATGTGGCTCCAGTAAATGTTTTCAGAGTAGATTTAATGGAAATTTGCTGAAATGATTCAGTCAACATTTCAGAGACATAAGAACTGAAAGAAAAATGACCACTGAGGTCAAACATGAATGGAAAATAAATTGTGAATGAGTTCAACGGTCACTGAGTTAAAGGTAAAACATTATGTGTGAATTGTTTGTTTATGAATATAAAAATATGTAAATGAGGGTGGGAGAAGCCCAATTTTTTCAAAAGCCAAAAACTTATATATGAACCTGTATGGAACAAGGTTCAGTCATATGAACTGGATATATAGTTTGTTGGATAATAGAGGACCATATATCCAGAGGTTTTCAATAACAGGTTTGGGGGAATGTAGAATTTTAATTTCAAATGCATAAGTACTAATGTTACCAAACTGAAGTCATGTCATTTCACCCATCCTGTTGGTTATGATAGGTAGGTAGATAGGTACTTTATTAATCCCGTGGGGGAAATTCGAGTTACTGCAAGTTTCTATGGCAGCCATTTTGACTTTGTTGGTCGTTGCAGCTGAGGCTGAAATGATTGAAACTTGGATTTTTTTTTCTTTCTGCTAATAATAAACTACATTGCTTTAATAAATATGTGTGTGAGAAGAGCATGCAGTGGTCTGGATTTAAAAATAAAATGCTTAAAGGTGCTTTAGTGCCTCTTTGCAACTCTGTTGGTTTTATTTAGGAAAAATACATTTTTATATTTTGTGCAATCAAAGTGAAGAGTATTTGGCTTCTAAGATTTAAGTGATAATTCAAAATGTATAAAAATTTGGTTCTGAACTGTTTGCATCATAACCCTCTGTACTTGTTTGATCAGACTCAATTTGGAGAAATTTTAATTCTAACAGGATGGATGAGCTAAAAACTAAAGAGCACATTCAATTGCCGCTCCAATCTCAAATTTCACAACATTAAATGTGCACTCCTTTGTGTTGTGGCTGTAAAATTTATGGTGGTGTAAAAGTTTAGGGAACTGCATTTAAACAAACTGCTACAAAATTTGTCATGTAGCAGTTTCAAGACAACAGTGATCCACTTTAATTGTAATTTTTTATGATTCCCATTCGTCTTTAACATAGACTATTCTTCCTGTGATCTACACCCACAAGCATTACAATACACAAATGTTACAATCATTACAACTCAACATCACACAAAGACAAGTTGACTTCAATAATCCCCCAAAATTGTCAACAATAAAAAAATAAAAAATAAAATAAAAAAAAACAAGAAAAACTGTTTGCATTTCATTATTCAGTTTTTCTGTTCAGTGCCCTGAGATGACTTCTACCGAATGTAATGTTGCATTATGTACTGTATATATTTTAAGGGTTTTTTTTAACTATCATGATCACCAATCAATGTTATTTCAGTATGAAATGGCTCTGAATAGAGCTGTTTGGACTGAGGACATCGGTTCTGGACAGAGGTAGTTTAAACAGTCTAGGCTAGTTTTAAAACGATGTCCGTTAGAGGTGGGTATAAACTGAGAAAAGGCAAAAAGGTTTGTGTAAAATCCACATTTTATGTAAAAGGAACTGCATACTAGTCTGTCACTGACATTCATGCATGGCTGGCTTTGATGCATGGAGTTAATAATTGTTCTAAAATGACAGTCGGGTACTAATCATGTAGCTTTATTTTGAACTATATGCAGTTCATCTAGATCTTCTTTTGATGCACAAGGCCAAACAGCTGGACAGTAGTCAAAGTGAGACAGGACTAAAAACTAATACTAATTTTCTTATTTGTTACGTCAACACTTGCTCTTGCCAAGGGCGGACATCTTCTCCTCCTCTCTCTCTGCGCTTTACTTTTGCTCTGTCCCGTCTGTGAAACTGCTTAGAGCATATCTTCTACAAATCTTCTGAATCATAATTATGGACTTGGATTTGGTCAGTTGGTCCCTCAACACAATTGATAGCATTTCTTCGAATAGAAGACGGGCTTTAGGCGAGCCGATTTGCCCTGTTGGCACGCAGCTGGATATCTCATCGACTTGGAAGACTTGATGACGTGTCTATCTCTGCTGCCATTTGTGGATTTTAAGGATGCATTTTATAATTGGATTTATGATGACCGGTTCCTGCTTTTTGGATTTGTCTGGTTCCTGGTTTATCTACAATCAAGGAAATAATTGGCAGCAAATTTGGACCCGGTCATGCTGCTTGTCTTATGATGGCTTGGTTCATGCCTCGAGCACCCAGACTCTAATGCTTTTGGCAGAATGGATCAGATCTCGGGGATTATTCTCAGGCATGGCCCATTGGTTTGGCTATGTAATTTGGACATTTTGAAACCAAGTGGACTGACACAGACTCAAGGTAGATGTCACTAAAGCTCTGACCATCCCCAAAACAATTATCTGAATTCGGCTCCCTGACTGGCCTTGACTGGCCAACTTATCTCAACTCGCCTGGAAGTTTTGTAAACTTGATGGCTCTATCTCTCCCTACCCTCCTACCAAGGAATTTCCATGGACTTTTCAGAGGGGCCCAGCTGAATAAACATTCTGTCATCATTTCAGGACTCCTTGGATTTGTCCTTGGCAATCCTCAGCAACCCTCAGCAATATTGGTAGAAGGATGTTAGAAATGCAGCTGCCAGGAAAAAAGACAGGGGAGATATATGGATGCAGTTGGAGAGGACACAGAGGTAGTTGCAGTGAGGACAGAGGATGCAGAGGACAGAATGAGATTAAGAATGACTTGCTGTGGCGACCCCTCAAGGGAAAAGCCGAAAGGAGAGACCTAAAATGGATATTGCCCCAAATTAACATTTCTACTCATTTTGGTTACAATATTGTATATATGTGTGAAACATATGTCTTTCATTAATTTTTTCTAATTTCATCTGCTCCCTTCCTCAGGGGTCACCGCAGAGAACTAACTCACATGAAGACTTGGCAAATGTTTTTACGCCGGACGCCCTTCCTGACGGAACCACAGACCACGGACCTACCACAGTCCTCTGTGTTGAGCAGAGTTGCCATCTAGGGCGCCCGGGGGAGCACCTGGTGGGGGTTAAGAATCTTGCTCAAGGGCCCAGTGTGGGGCAAATGAGGGTGGGTCACACATCACATTTTGATGTCTGGGGCAGGTCAAACCAGCGACATTCCGATCGCAGGTTTGACTTCTCAAAGTTTTGCCCCACCATTCCCCCTATTATACATGTAGCGTGTCAACAGAGGTACAGCACAGGTTGAACAACTGGGAGATCAAGTTAGAGAGGCCAGACTGGGATGGTTTAGACATATCCAGAGGAGGGACAGTGGGTATATTTGTAAAAGGACAATAGAAATGCATAAGCCAGGAAAAAGTCAGAGGAAGACTAAAGAGATCTGTGGATGCAGTTAGAGAGGACATGGAAATAGTAGGACGGAATACAGAGTGAGATGTAGAATGACTTGCTGTGACAACTCCTGAAAAGGGAACCGCTGAAAGAAGACCAAATACCAAAGGGGATGGGTTCCAAGATTGTATGACTAATGCACTATAATAAATTCTGATCCAAATACAATGCAGCACACTCAAACCTATACCAAATGGAGTGGTCATCTACTGTATGTATTTGCAGAGGGAAAGGAATGCAGTGGGCATTACTTGGCCAACAACAAACATACCTTTTGAAATCAGCCCAGAAGTAGGTAATGAACTTTTTAGAATTTCAAAATAATAAACCACTTTTACAGGAATTTTTGTTTCATTACTGTTTACTTCCAGAGAACCGAACAAGTGACATCCTAACTGCCATGGCGATGTTGTCTGAACACACTTGTATAACCTTCCACAAGAGAAATGCTGAGCCAGACTATGTGCTCTTCCAAACTGGCAACGGGTATGTAGTCAGCAATAAATTTGGTATTTTCAACTGCTTTAAATGAAGTCTGGCAGTAGGACTCTTAGAATAATTTGGGTCTATCATGTGATGTTGTTCTACCTGCACACACAAGCCAGTTGTACTTCTATACCTATTAAGGCATTTTATGGAAACCTACTGAGTTATTGAAATGGTTAATAAGATGACAATTGTGGACCATTTATTTATTTTTAAAGGTACAAAGTAAATTCTGCTGCTAAAGGTACAATATACTTTTACATGACAGTAGAACAGAAATGTATTGACTCTGTCACAACTCTGCTAAGCTCTCTGATTTACTCGAGCCTCAATAAATTGACAAATCTTTCATAAAATTTTATGTAGCATATAAACAGAAATCTCCTTACCAAAACTCCTGAATCTGCAGGCACTACAGAGAGAACTCGTTTTGCCTGTCTGGCTATTAGCAATGACGATAAAAAGTTGTTGGTTCTTAATAAGATTAGCAGTTTTATAGGAACTGCTCGGCAGTACCTACCTTCACTATATAGTGATTTTTTTTTAGAACTCTAAAATATGAAGTTCCATCCTTTAAGCACAATCATTGTAAAACTGTCTAAATGGGAAACGTGGAATTAACATGCAACTTCTTGATTTATTTTATTTTTTTGCCTGTGCATATCATCCTCCAGCTGTGCGTCGTACGTAGGCTTCATTGGTGGCAGGCAGGGTTTGTTTGTGGCACCCAATTGCTCTTCGGGTAACATTGCCCATGAGCTTCTTCACACCATTGGCTTCCAACACGAGCACACCAGGTCAGACCGTGACCAGTACATCAAGATTGTTGAAAGTAACATCATGCCAGGTAACACTGACATGCTCATGTTTGTGTTCTAGTTAAACTTGACAGTGTTTATTACACTAAATATGAATACTTTCAATTAAAAATCGGGGTGTTGCATAAAATGTGGAAATGTCTTGTCTCCTAGAATATTGGAAATTAAATGGTTCAGTTTTGAAGTAAAAAGAACTGAACAACATTTCTAAGAACAAAGCATGAAGAATTAAGTTATTGTATCACCAAAGAAACCTGAATCTCAGTGTATTGTATTTATCACCTGTAAGTAAAATTGACTAAATATTTCACGAACTACTGGATAGATTTTAATGAAACAAACTAATCATTGGAATTACATCTATAAAAATAATAAAGTTCAACATGGCCACTACAGCCTACATAAAATGGCTCTAACTCAATTTGATGAATATGGTTCTATTCAGACAAGCCACTTTTGTCCAATTAATGATGGGCCATTTCAAAAGTGTAATGCTGCAATCCTAAAAAAGTTCAATATTTTAAACTTCGAAGCAGTTAATGAATCAAACTTATCCTTAACCCTTAAACTTAACCTTTACATTCTATAGAGATATACGAAGTGGAGGTCTGTAGGATTAAATTAATAAATGTGGACCAACCTAGATTGAAATAATGGTGTGTTCTTGGCACACCATAATCCCCCTCACTTGAATTAAACATGTAAAACCTGATTGGTTAAAATCACAATTTCTGTAATGTTTATTGTAAGTTTGAATAATAAGTAGTGCAAAATTGGGGCAACAATGTTATGTGCCATACCATACCACTTTATTTATAAAGCACTTAGAACAGTAGCAAGGCCAACCAAATTGCTGTGCAGGAAAAACAAGCAAGCAAAGGACACAGGATTAAAATGTATATTCAAATGGAAAAAGATAACTAAAAGGCTAACACTGTAGAGTACAGACAGGATTAAAAACAAATTGTGCTGTGTCAAAAGCCAGGGAATAAAAGTGGGTTTTTAAGCGAGACTTAAAAACATTGAGAGTGTGAGTCTGTCTGACATGTAAGGGTAAATCATTCCACAGACTTGGACCTGCAACAGCAAAGGCCATGTCACCTCTGAGTTTGAGACAGGTTCCTGAAACCACAAGGAGCATCTGATCTGCTGACCTCAGATGTCACTGTGGGACATATGGCTGCAGCAGCTCAGCAAGATAAGAGGGGGCAGAACTGTTAAGAACTTTAAAAACATAATGGAGTATTTTGAACTGAATTTGAAAGTGAACCAGGAGCCAGTGCAGGGAGGCCAAAACTGGAGTAATGTGCTCTCTTATGCCTGTACCAGTTAAAAATTGGGCTGCAGCATTTTGGACCAGTTGTAAACGTGCAATGGAGGTCTGACTGATTCCAAACAGTAGCACATTGCAATAATCGAGCCTGGATGTTATGAATGCATGTATTACAGTCTCAAGATTATTTTTGGACAGTATGGGCTTCAGTTTAGACCGTTGTCTCAGCTGGAAAAAAAAAACAGGCTTTAGCAATCATGTTTACATGACTGTTAATTTTCCTGGAAGGGTCCATTATCGCTCCCCAATTTGTGACTTTGTTTCTCTAACGGGACTAAAGAGGAAAGGTGGTTCTTGATCATGCCATTAGGAGGAAACGGTATGACTTCATTCTTCTCATTGAAACAAGAAATTTAAAGCCATCCAGTCCCTGATGTCAGGCAGGCAGTCAAGAAGAGGCTGAACAGAACATGCCCAGTGTGATTCAGAGGGAAGTAAATTTGACAGTCATCAGCTTAGAAATGAAAGGGAATGTTTTATGTTTATGGAAAATGGGACCTAGTGTTGGCAGGTATAAAGAAAAGTGAAGAGGACTGAGGATGGACCCTTGTGGTACCCCACACTGAAGCGCTGCCGATGCTGAATTAAAATCTTTGATGTTGACTCAAAAGGTTCTGTCAGAGAGGTAGGATCTAAACCATTTGAGGGCTGACCCTGTGATGCCCACCCACTTCTCCAGCCTAGAAATTAGGATCTCGTGGTCAATGGTGTCTAAAGCAGATGTAAACCCCAAAGGTCCAATAGGACAAGCAGCACGGAGTCGCCTTCACCCGTGGTTATAAAAATGTCATTGAATATTTTCAATAGAGCAGTCTCAGTGCAGTGGAGTGTTTTTGAAGTCTGATTGGAACACCTCTAAAATGGTGATCCTCAAGGAAACATTTCAACTGAGACTCAACTATTTTTCCTGTAATTAGGACACGAATGGGAGTCTATAGACAGGCCTGAAGTTGGACACCACTGAGGGATCAAGACTAGGTTTTTTCAGCACAGGTTGAACAGCAACATGTTTAAAGGTTTTTGGCTCCGTACCTGAAGTTAAACTGCTATTCACAATAGAGAGAATAGAAGGGCCCAGAAAAGGAAAAACATTGTTTAGGGGTCGAAGGGGAACAATATCAAATGGGGAGCCAGATGGCTTCATGCTGCACATTACCTGCTTTAAAAAATATGGAAAGATTGGCTCAAAGTGAAACGATAATATTAGAAAAGTATTTAGATTTAGCAGATTTTACTGCTTTCTGATAACTATGCCAACTCTCTCTTAGCATTTGAAAAGAAACCTGTAGCCTGCGTTTCCTCCACCTGCACTCTGCCCTCTGCCCTCCTGCACTGCTGTCGAACGGCTTGAGTGACATCATTCAGCCAAGGTTCTGATCTAAGATTTGGTTGTCTGGTTTTCACGGGAGCAACACGGTCCAAAACATTTAAACAAATCCTCAGTGGTGGGAGGCACTGAGGGCTGTTTGATACTTTTACAGTTACAATCATCAGAGAAATGAGCAGCAGTGAAGCGGTTAATGGCCTAGCTGCGATGCACAGGAGCACACTGTTTCACAGTGAGACAGAGAGGGGTGAAATCAAACGGCACAGGCATGTGATCTGAAAACACATTGTCACTGATTTCCAATATACAGGTCCTTCTCAAAAAATAGCATATTGTGATAAAGGTCATTATTTTCCATAATGTAATGATAAAAATGAAACTTTCATATATTTCAGATTCATTGCACACCAACTGAAATATTTCAGGTCTTTAATTGTTTTAATACTGATGATTATGGCATACAGCTCATGAAAACCCAAAGTGCCTGTCCCAAAAAATTTGCATATTTCATCCCACCAATGAAAGACAAGTGTTTTTAATACAAAAAACGCCAACCTTCAAATAATCATGTTCAGTTATGCACTCAATACTTGGTCGGGAATCCTTTTGCGTGAATGACTGCTTCAATGTGGCGTGGCATGGAGGCAATCAGCCTGTGGCACTGCTGAAGTGTTATGGAGGCCCAGGATGCTTCGATAGCGGCCTTAAGCACATCCAGTGTGTTGGGTCTTGCGTCTCTCAACTTTCTCTTCACAATATCCCACAGGTTCTCTATGGGGTTCAGGTCAGGAGAGTTGGCAGGCCAATTGAGCACAGTAATACCATGGTCAGTAAACCATTTACCAGTGGTTTTGGCACTGTGAGCAGGTGCCAGGTCGTGCTGAAAAATGAAATCTTCATCTCCATAAAGCTTTTCAGCAGATGGAAGCATGAAGTGCTCCAAAATCTCCTGATAGCTAGCTGCATTGACCCTGCGCTTGATAAAACACAGTGGACCAACACCAGCAGCTGACATGGCACCCCAGACCATCACTGAATGTGGGTGCTTCACACTGGACTTCTGGCATTATGGTATTTCCTTCTCCCCAGTCTTCCTCCAGACTCTGGCACCTTGATTTCCGAAAGACATGCAAAATTTGCTTTCATCCAAAAAACGTACTTTTGACCACTGAGCAACAGTCCAGTGCTGCTTCTCTGTAGCCCAGGTCAGGCGCTTCTGCTGCTGTTTCTGGTTCAAAAGTGGCTTGACCTGGGGAATGCAGCACCTGTAGCCCATTTCCTGCACACGTCTGTGCATGGTGGCTCTGGATGTTTCTACTCCAGACTCAGTCCACTGCTTCCGCAGGTCCCCCAAGGTCTGGAATCGGCCCTTCTCCACAATCCTCCTCTTCTCGTTGTGCAGCGTTTTCTGCCACACTTTTCCCTTCCCACAGACTTCCCACTGAGGTGCCTTGATACAGCACTCTGGGAACAGCCTATTTGTTCAGCAATTTCTTTGTGTCTTACCCTCTTGCTTGAGGGTGTCAATGATGGCCTTCTGGACAGCAGTCAGGTCGGCAGTCTTACCCATGATTGCGGTTTTGAGTAATGAACAAGGCTGGGAGTTTTTAAAAGCCTCAGGAATCTTTTGCAGGTGTTTAGAGTTACGTCGTTGATTCAGATGGTTAGGTTAATAGCTTGTTTAGAGAACCTTTTCATGATATGCTAATTTTTGGGGACAGGCATTTTGGGTTTTCATGAGCTGTATGCCATAATTATCAGTATTAAAACAATTAAAGACCTGAAATATTTCAGTTGGTGTGCAATGAATCTGAAATATATGAAAGTTTCATTTTTATCATTACATTTTGGAAAATAATGACCTTTATCACAATATGCTAATTTTTTGAGAAGGACCTGTACAAACGGGGACAGCACATGTTAAAACCAAGTCCACAGTATGTCTGTGTTCCTGGGTGGGACTATTTACATGCGTAGTAAAATTAAAGGAGTCTAATAAATCTAAAAAGTCCTTCACTAAGGGCTTCTACTGACGACACACATGCATAGTAAAGTTTCCAATTATTAAAACGTGATCATATGTCAGTGTGATAAGCCAATAAATCAGAGAATTCACATGTGAAAACTTTGGATTTTGGTGGACAGTAGACCAGTGCGCACAGCAACACAGGAGAATGTCCCAGTTCATAAACACTCAGCTCAAAGCTGGAGCAGGAGACTGGGATGGACAGCTGTTTACATACAAAGTTTGGCTTAAAGATGGTCCTCAGATGACCATGGGACATTAAAATACAGAGAGTCCAGAGGTAATAATTCCACCAAAGCACAGGACTCACCAACAAACATCCAAGTTTCTGTGATGATTCCTATAACTGATTACCATGTGACAAAATGCATGCATTCACAAAACAAACAAAAAAAAAAGTTCCACTCATACAGGCTTTCTGTTTTGGTCTTGTCTTTCAGGAATGGAGAAAAACTTCAACAAGCTTAATGGTCAAACTTTTGGTATTCCATATGACTACACTTCTATCATGCACTATGGAAGGTAATGTTTTCTTAACGCAAACATTCGGAACTGAATTGTGTTATGTTTTAATAATTTATTATTCTTCACTATCACAGTAATTATTTTTCGCAAAACGGGAAAGACACAATCATTCCGAAGCGTGACGATGTACACGAGATGGGACAGAGAGAAAAGCTGATGAACTCGGACATTGAGAGGGTTCGATTTCTGTATGGATGTGGTACGTTGTTTCTGTTTACGTTTGGATAATATCACGTAAGGATAATATATAAAATGATATTTTCGGCTGAGTAATGATCATAGATCTGACATAGCGGAATCAGTCAGCAGCTATAAATGGATTGGACAACTTTAATATTGTTTGCTAACATTCGTTTAATATCTTGTCTTTCCTTGTTTCTGAACCATCTGCAGATGTAATGGGAGTGTAAACTCAACTTTTTTTTTTCCTTAACATCTTCTGGGTCATGTTCATTCAGAAATGGAAAAAAGAGCAAATAGTTAAAGCTTGTCTAGCCAGGTGCAGAAGCTGATTTTGTGAAGTGTCACTCATAAAATTCATGTTCAAACTTTTGTAAACGCCCTCCACCCCCACCTTCTATGTAAACTAAAGACTGTTAATTTAATCATCCAACTTGTTTTATTTCTTCTAGATTCCCTGAAATAAAACGACACTGCGAACAGATGACTGTGCTGCTTCCTCAGTTCATCCTCGCAACACTAAGACTCCACCATCAGAGGGTGCAGCAGCATCAACATGAAGACTCCA